GGAGGGAGGGGGGAAAAAGGGATATTTTGGACTACGGTCCTGGTGTAGACCAGGCCTAAGGGGATAGTTGAAATCCCCCATTATTATTGGGTTTTCTGCTTTGGTAGCCTTTCTGATCTCCCTGAGCGTTTCATACTCAGCATGCAGGCCAGGTGATCAGTGGTATATTCCTACTGCTATTTTCCTATTATTCAGCCATGGAATTTCCACCCATAGGCCGTGTCCAGACTCAGGGGTTTTTTCGGGAAAAGTAGCCTTTTCCCGAAAAAACTTCCCCTGCGTCCAGACTCAAGCCGCGTTCTTTCGAAATTATTTCGAAAGAACGCGGCTTTTCTTTCGATGGCGGTAAACCTCGTTTCACGAGGAAGAACGCCTTCCTTCGAAAGTTCCTCTTTCGAAGGAAGGCGTTCTTCAATGTAAAGAGGCCGTCTTCGAAAGAGAGCATCCAGACTCGCTGGGTGCTCTCTTTCGAAAAAGCGGATTTTTCTTTCGAAAGATCCGCCTGCAGTCTAGACACGATCTTTCGAAAGATGCTCTTTCGAAAGATGCTTTCGAAAGAGCATCTTTCGAAAGAAGCCTGCAGTCTAGACATAGCCATAGAGATTCCATGGTACTGTTTGAGTCATTTAAGAGTTGTATTGTATTTGACTCCATGCCTTCTTGCAACATAATACCCCTCCCCAACCAGTGCGGAGCGGTATTATTATCAATGGCCTCATCTACTACCCGGCACTCCAGTTCACCCATTTTAGTAAGGTCAGGGTTATATCATACAATCATAGAACACTAGAACAGGAAGGGACCTCAAGAGGTCATCAAGTCCATTGTCCTGCCCTCATGGCTAGAGTACTGTCTAGAGTCCCTGATAGATGTCTAGCTAACCTGCTCCTAAATATCTCCAGAAATGGAGATTCCACAACCTCCCTAGGCAATTTATTCCAGTGTTTCACCACCCTGACAGGAACTTTTTCCTAATGTCCAACCTAAACCTCCCTTGCTGCAGTTTAAGCCCCTTGCTTCTTGCCCTATCCTCAGAGGCCAAGGAGAACAAGTTTTCTCCTTCCTTCTCGTGACACTCTTTTCTGAAAACCGCTATCATGTCCTCTCCTTAGATATTTAAGAGTAGGTTAAATAAATGTCTATCAGGGATGGTCTAGACAGTACTGGGTCCTGCCATGAGGGCAGGGGATTGTACTCGATGACCTCTCGAGGTCCCTTCCAGTCCTAGTATTCTATGATTCTATGAATACAGCAGCATGGCTGCACCTGCAACACTGTCATGCATCAGTGTAGTTTGTCACCACAGAGGTGTGAAGGATTCATCCAATATCGGAGTTAATCCACCTAGAGAGGCAGTACCTTAGTGAACAGAAGAATTGTACCATTTACCTAGTGTTGTCTACGCCAGGGGCTAGGTCATCTGAACGGTGTTGCTTGGAGGGATTGTTCACACCCTATGTCACCATTGTACGTTTTCAGTGTAGACCAGCCCTTCGTTTCAGCGATGCTTAGAAATGCACCTTAGATCTCTGTCCAGGCTCACCAGAGCTTCCACTTTCCCTCTTCCAGATGATACCCCCGTGGCCACCGCCAAGAACATGCCGGGGAACAGCGCAGACCTATTTGGGGATGGGGCGGTGGAAGACGGCAGTGCCGCCAATGGGAGACTCTGGAGGACGGTGATCATCGGGGAGCAGGAACACCGCATTGACCTGCAGATGATCAAACCTTACATGAAAGTGGTGACCCACGGAGGTGAGGTTTAGGAAGACCATGGGGCCTCAGAAATGCACTGGCCGGCTGGTCTTTCTTTCAAACTGTTGCTGTTTGGCTTAATGGGGTTGGAAGAGAAGTAGCTAGTGGTTGTCTGAGCCATCAGCATGGAAAGACAATAATCCATAGGGTGCTTGCTAACTCAGTATGGCACCATTCATATCACTAGACCCAGCTGGGATTTTTTTTTTTTACTAATTTTTTCTGTCGAAAAACGACCATTGGTCAAAACCAAAACGTCACCAGAAAGAGCCAGTTTCAATGCATCGCTCGTTTGGAAAACCCTTGGGAAAGCAAGTTTTGAAATTGTCACACCGCCCTGGTTTGGCATTTTCAGACCAAAATGTTTCCCGTAGTTGGCTCAAAATGACTTTTTGTTTCAAAATATGGTAGGGTATGTCTACACTACCACCCTAGTTCAAACTTGCAAATGAAGCCCGGGATTTGAATTTCCCGGGCTTCATTTGCATGTTGCTGGGCGCCGCCATTTTTAAATGTCCGCTAGTTCGGACTCCGTGCCCGCGGCACGAACTAGGCTTCCTATTCCGAACTACCGGTACACCTCGTTCCACGAGGAGTAACGGTAGTTCGGAATAGGAAGCCTAATCTGAACTACCCAGTTCGTGCCGTGTGTAGCCGCGGGCACAGAGTCCGAACTAGCGGACATTTAAAAATGGCGGCACCCGGCAACATGCAAATGAAGCCCGGGAAATTCAAATCCTGGGCTTCATTTGCAAGTTCGTATGACTACATTAACCACCCTAGTTCGAATTAGGGTGGTAGTGTAGACATACCCTCACTTTGTAGTACAATGTAAAACAAATGTTGAAAGGGTTGAACCCATATGTTCTGATTGGCCTGAACTGGTTCTCTTGTAGATTTTTCCTTTGCAAAAATTTCAAGATTTTGATTTATGATAGGATAGAATAAATTAGCAAAACTCTTCTTGGAATGGGAAAACCATTCTCCACCCAGATCGGCCTGTCATCCTATAAAGCCTGGCTACATAATATAAAACATACAGGAACGAACAGTAGCAATAGATGGAGGGTCTGGTCCATCTCAGAGATGCAGGACACCTTCAACTTACGCTGAAGTCAACTGGAACTGCGGGAGCTAAGTAGCTCTCAAAACCAGGTCCTGGTGTTTCCAGTCAGATACCCAAATACTAAAGCACCAGAGGTAGTGGCCACGTTTAAAATTCAAGGCAAGCAATGAGTCAGTGAGACCACCTGAAATAGAGCTTCTGGTCCTTTGATTTTGGACCATGAGTGCAGGGGGATGGACTGGAGGGTCTTTCAAGATTTCTTCTGGTTCTAGGATGCTGATTCCCCTGAAACAGCTGATAATTTTCAATACAGGGCCTGCTGGAGCGTGTTACGGTCATCTGGGAGGCCACTGTAGTTCATCCTTTGGGTAAAATTCTCCACGGCAGGACCATGCATTGGGCTCTCTCAGCAGATGGCCTCTACCTCGGAAATCCCGTTTCCTTGGGAGTTGGCCAAAACCCCTCATCCTTTGGAGTTCTGCCTGTCTATGGATGGGGTGGTGTCCATGAGGGTGTTCCATTATGACCTCCTGCCTCTGTCTGTCTCACGCGAGTGGCCGTGCTGTCCATCTCTTTCTCTCTCAGGGTACTACGGAGAAGGTCTCAATGCCATCATTGTCTTTGCTGCCTGCTATCTCCCGGACAGCAACCTCGCTGACTATCATTATATCATGGAGAACCTCTTCTTGTAAGTGCCAATGCCAAGTAGAGGCAGATTGTAGTTTCGTGGGGCTTTCTTATTCCTTAGGCCTGCAGTCCCTCCCCCCCCCACCTCTTCCTGATGCTTCTGCCAGGGAAATGGGATTGGGGTAAGGGGGTTTGCTCCTCTCTGCCCCCCGGGGGCTCCTGCCACCCCAGCAGGAGTACCGGGCTAAGCAGGGCAAGTCTCCGCACCCTGATCTCACTCCCTGTTAGATGTGCTGGTTGGGCAGGCAGAGCAGGTCACGGTACAGGGGCATCCATTTTTACAGGCCCCTCCAATTGGGTGGGGCCCATGGGCATGAGCCTCATTGGCCCAGTGGCTAGTCCACCACCGATGCCAAGTGTTATGATGGAGGGAAGGCGAGAAAGGAACCCCCTCTGAGCCACTTGCTAGGACTTTACATGGAACACCTCAGCTGGGAACCCCCTCTGAGCCACTTGCTAGGACTTTACATGGAACACCTCAGCTGGGAACTGAGGCAAGGTGGAATCCATGCCCGCAGGACCGAGGTGCAGCAGCCGATCTGGCTGAAGGCTTCTAGCTGACTTGTTCATGGTGTCGTAATGGGCCAAGTTCTGACCCAACACAGGGGAACCTAAGAGCAGCCTCACATATTGCACGAATGGGCGCCCACCGGCTAGCCAGCAAAGTGTGCTGGTCCACCGCAGAACATCCCATCTGAGGCTACTGCTGGGCAAAGGACCTGGTGCCCATAAAATGAGTTGACTCCCATTGCGGACCCCTAGGCCAGGCCTTGGCTCACCCCTCCCAGGGTGCTGCAAAGCTGCCTCATGGCAATTTGAACTATCTTCCTCAGATCCCATAATCCACAAAGACAGAGGGGTGAGATTTTCAGTACAATGTTCTTTGGAGGCTTCTCCTGGCCAAACACTCAGGCTATGTCTAGACTGCATCCCTCTGTCGACAGAGGGATGCAAATCAAGCACTTCAAAAGTGCAAATGAAGCCTGGATTTAAATATCCCGTGCTTCATTTGCATAAACATGGCCACCACTTTTTTCCGAAATGGAGCTTTTTTTGAAAAAAACAACGGCAGTCTAGATGCGATCATTCGAAAATACAACCCTTTTTCGAACGATCCCTTCTCCCAGCTTTACAAGATCTTTCGAAAAAGGGTTGTATTTTCGAACGATCGCGTCTTGACTGCCTTTTTTTTCTCAAAAAAGCGCCGTTTTGAAAAAAAGCGGTGGCCATGTTCTCAAAAAAGCGCCATCTTGAAAAAAAGTGGCGGCCATGTTTATGTTTATGCAAATGAAGCACAGGATATTTAAATCCTGGCTCCCCCATTTGCACTTTTCGATGTGCCTAATCTACATCTCTCTGTCAACAGAGAGATGTCGTCTAGACACACCCAGAGTCCCAACCAGATGGGGAAGGATGAGCCTGGGGGAGCTCGGAAAGGGGGTATCTGGGGGCAAATATATCCAGAAACCCCGCTATATGTCCGGGCGCTTCAGTCCCCACGGTCCCACTCCATGGCTGCTTTGGATTTCCACCCCACAGGTACGTGATCAGTAGCTTGGAGCTGCTGGTGGCGGAGGACTACATGATCGTGTACCTAAACGGAGCCACGCCCCGGAGGAGGATGCCGGGCCTGGGCTGGCTGAAGAAATGCTACCAGATGATCGACAGGAGGTGAGGACGGCCAGTGGGGGCGGGTTATTTCCAGGGTCAGCCCCTGCACTATACACCGAGTTTACGGCACGGCCAAAAGAATGCAGAAGACCCTTAGCATCAAGCAGACTCCGCTCCACTGCTGCCAAGCTGATTTGAGCTCTGATGCATCCATGTGAGGTGTGTTAGGACTGGATGCAAACAGAGGACCTGCCTAGAGAGTAGGGCGGGGCAAGATATGGCCCCGGGGCCGGATCTGGCCCACTGAACACTTTGATCCGACCCACAGAGGGCATCTGGTCACTTTCTAGTTCTATCCTGCTGCCCCTGCCACCGAATTTCTAGGCAGTGGCTCAGGCAGCAGGATCCTATTTAAAAGGGCTCCTATTTAAATTGTTGCTATTTAAAGGGCTCACAGCTCCCGGCCCGGGATTGCTGCAGCTATTTAAAGGGCTCCCGGTCACAATGCTACCCGGGCAGGAGCCGGAGCTGAGAGCCCTTGAAATAGCTGCCACAACCCCAGGCTGCTGCCAGGCAACGCGAGGCAACGCGGTAGTGGCTGGGCCAGGATCCATGAGACCTGTGCTGTGTTTTCACTCCAAAGCCCCTGGCCTGGCCCAGCCAAAGAGCTTGCAGGGTTCAAAGTGGCACATGGACTGCGGAGCCCAGCTGGTGGATGCTGCGGTGCAGGCAGGGCCTTGGGGAATGGGAGCAGGAAAGGAACCGCCCCAGCCCTCCTGCCTGCTGCAGGGGCAAGACCAGGGAGCTCCCCTCCCAGCCCCACCCGCCTGCAGCCCCGGTGAGCGTCGCAGGAGGGGCCAGCCACTGGCAGCAAGGGATGGGAGCAGCAGGTGGAGCGCAGTGCGCCCCATGGTGAGAGGAGACTGGGCTCCATCAGGGCTTTATCCCCAGCCCCCACTGGCCAGGGCCAATCATCACCCCTGGGTCCCGACCCAGCACAGCAGCGCGAGGCCCTGAAGATGCGGGGCCCACGGCAACCGCCTTGGCCTAAGGCTGGGCCTGCCTCTGGCCTCAGATAATGCTGGGGGAAGGCTAGACCCCAGCCCCGCCCCTCCCACCCCAGGCCCCGCCCTTTCCGCGGTTGGAGCCAGCCCATGGCCACGTACCCAAATTCATCAAGCAGCCCTCTGAGGCGGGGAATCCCTCAGTCTCCCCTATTGAAGCTGCCCCACTGTGACTGAATGAACAAGTCTTGGCACAGAGGGCCTGGATCTCCCCCCATTCTCCCTTCGGGAGTGTGTGTGCACTGTCGAGCCATTCTCATGCTATAGAGAGTGGGGCTTCGAGTGCAGATGAAGCAGCAGCAGATACAGCTGAGCCATAGGCCTGGTTGGGATCCATCCCTCCTAGCAACGAGGGGGCAAAATCAGCAGAATTGTGTCATTCCGCATCTCCCACAAAGCACCAGGGATGCTCACAGTGACGCACCGGCAAAGCCAGGACGCAGCGCCCAATGGGAACCAGCAGGGGGAGCAGCTCGACCTGCTTCCTCCTCCCACTCACTTGTCATTATTCTTGATTATCGTATTCACGCTTTGCAGTCTGCCTGGAGTGACTATGTACAAAGACACGGATGCAGCATCAGCCAACCAAGGAAAACACCAGATTGTTTCCACATTAGACTTTGACGCTGTGTTGTCCCTTCTGTCGGTTATATTGCACGGCATATACAATAAAAACAAGCACATGGGACTCGTCACAGCAAGCGAGACAGACATGGGTCAACATCAATTTGAGGCATAAAGCTAGTAAAGGAACTAAAGAGGATAGGGCTGTTCTAGAGCGATAATTCTTTCTTCCTCTCCCCCGTCTCTCTATGGCTACATCTACACTGGCTTGATTTTCCGGAAATGCTTTTAACGGAAAAGTTTTCCGTTAAAAGTATTTTAGGAAAAAGCGCATCTAGATGGGCAGGATGCTTTTCTGGAAAAGCACTTTTTGCGGAAAAGCATCCATGCCAATCTAGACGCGCTTTTCCGCAAAAAAGCCCCGATCGTCATTTTCGCCATCGGGGCTTTTTTGCGGAAAAGAAATCTCTGCTGTCTACACTGGCCCTTTTCTGGAACAGTTTTCCGGAAAAGGAGTTTTGCCCGAACGGGAGCAGCATCGTTTTTCCGGAAAAGCACTGATGATTTTACATTAGATCGCAAGTGCTTTTCTGGAAATTCAAGCAGCCAGTGTAGACAGTTGGCAAGTTATTCTGGAAAAGCGGCTGATTTTCCGAAATAACTGGCCAGTGTAGACACAGCCTATTTGTATCCCTTGGATACCTACTCATACTTAGACTATAACCACTAAGCCCAGGGTTCTCTCTGTGTTCTGTGCTTGTCCAGCACCTAGCGCAAAGGGGAGATTGATAAGATGTGCATCCGAAGTAGCTTCACTTAAAAAATAATTTCTTAGTCATGGTATTTTAATTTATACGGGAGAAGCCAGGTTCCTTGTCCATCAGCTTAGCTCCTCTGAGGTCAGGCTTCGGGGTGCTGCAGAGAGCAGATCGGTTAGGGTGCCTCCGTTTTCGAGTGGCCATGGCGGGCCGATAAGGAACGCCAGAGAGAACGAGCTGGCATGAGAACAGCTTCACTTAAAAAATAATTTCTTAGTCATGGTATTTTAATTTATACGGGAGAAGCCAGGTTCCTTGTCCATCAGCTTAGCTCCTCTGAGGTCAGGCTTCGGGGTGCTGCAGAGAGCAGATCGGTTAGGGTGCCTCCGTTTTCGAGTGGCCATGGCGGGCCGATAAGGAACGCCAGAGAGAACGAGCTGGCATGAGAACGGCTCGAAGAAATGTTAATTTAGTTTCAGTGGAACAGCTTCAACAGGAGAGCCGGAGGGGTTCCCCACCTCGGAGCAGCCCGTAGCCCGGCAATTAGGGTGCTCCCCTGAGAGGTCCGGGTGCGAATCCCTTCTCCTCCTCCAGCAACATGTTCTCTCACAGCCCGGCTGAGTGTAGTAACCACTGGGCTCAGAGCTACAACGGCCCAGATTCTTGCCAAAACGAGTCGGCGCTTCCAGTCAAGAGAAGGGTTTGCGGCTGCGAATCGTGAGCAGAAGGAGACTCGTGTCTCCTTGAGAGGGGCAGGACACGGCACTTCCCTCTGGTTTCCTTTAGCTTCCAAGGAGCCACCTCAAGCGCTGGCTTTTGGGATGCCCGTTCTGAGGCGTCTGTCTCTCCTCATTCGTTGTATAGAGGGCCCCAAACTCAGGCGCCGGGAATCCCAGTGGTTTTCTAGGCACCTAAAGGCTAGGTGGGCAGCACTTGGTGTCCCCTAAGGCCCTTTGTGTGACAAACCTGTGGCTGTTTTAAGACTAGAACAGATTTTCTTGTTCCTCTCCCAAGCGATAGGGTGGGCGGCCTGTCATTACTGTTTGTCAAACAAGGCCTGGGCAAGGCGCTGAAGAATATACTGTAAGGAACGTGCCCGCCATAGCTAAAGACGGGAGGGCAATGCTCTAGCTGGCCTTTGCCATCACTAACCTATGTGATCCCATGGGCCCATTCTGCCCCGACAGCCGAGTAAACCCCTGAAATCCACAAGGTCCCACCGGGGCGGGGGGACACCAGGAGTTTCGAAGAGGGCTCTGAGTATCTAACCTCTCCCATCTGGCCTTTCCACAGGCTACGAAAAAACCTGAAGGCTTTGATAATCGTGCACCCTTCGTGGTTCATCCGGACAGTGCTGGCTATATCCAGGCCTTTCATCAGGTGAACAAACCCCTCCCACATCCCCTCGTTAGGGTTGTTAACCCTGGCACCAGTCTGTGTGAGAGGGCAGGGTAGGGGCGCCGTGAGGGGTGATGATCCCACATGGCCTGGGCCTAATGCAAGGTTCTCACACCTTCCCCTGAAGCCCCTGGGACTGGACACGATCTCAGAGAGGCCACTAAGCTCGATGGGCCTTGGATCCGATTGAGCCGGGCAAGGCCTGTGCCTCTGTTACCCTACGGAGGCAGCCAGAAAGGGAGGCTGGATTTCTGTGGCAGGATCATCTCTGACTGGGAGGGGGCGGGTGCCCCGACGTGGCTGGGGGGGGTTTTGTTTGTGTCAAATTCTTAGCCCAACTAAAGGAATGACGGGGCCAGATCCTGATTTGGGGCGGGTGCCAAATTCTCTCCCCACGGGAGACAGTGGACGAGCTGGTGCAAGAGTTCTGGTTCTTTGAGAAGTCCCAGATGCCTTATCCCCAGCCTCTCCCAGCAGGGGTCACTGTAGATCAGGGTTGGCAAATGACAGCCTGCGAGGCCACATGTGGCCTGTCGGCCATTTTAACCCAGGCCTCAAGCTCCTGCTGGGGAGTGAGGTCTGGGGCTTGCCGTGCTCCGTGCGTGCCGGGGCTTTGTGTGGCTCCTGGATGCAGCAGCATGGCCCCCTCCAGTTCCTACATGTAGGGGCAACCAGAAGGCTCCATGCATTGATCCCACCCCAAATGGCACCCGCGCAGCTCCCATTGGCTGCAAACCACGGCCAATGGTAGCTGCAAGGGCAGTGCCTGCAGACAGGGCTGCCTGGCCGCATTTCCGTGTAGGAAGCAACTGGAGTAGGGGGACATACTGGCTGCTTCTGGAGCCTCCCCCCTCTCAGCCCCACGCTGTGCCCCAACCCCCTGCCTCAGTCCTGGTGCCCCTCCTGCCCGTGGAACTCCTCAGTCCCAACCCAGAGCATCTTCCTACACCCCAAACTCCTCCTCCCCAGAGCCCGCACCCCCAGCCAGACACCTCATACACACATACTCCAAC